ATGTAAGCAAGCAGTACATAGGGCCAACCAAAAGCAGAGGGTTGGAACCTGTGTATGTCAATGGACTCCCAAGAAAAATATTTTGCGGTAAGTCCAAAAAAAGTTTTCTTTTTCGTTCATTGAGGAACACAGGATTCACATTTGTTTCACTTCCCCCTTCAGGTTGATTGAGACACTGGCAAACTGCTACCAGCTTGGTATAGCCCCTCCCACTCCCAGCATGCCTTTAGCTAGTGTCCTAGGAGGATGGAAGCCCGTTCACACAGGTGCTGTCAATTCCGATCAGCAATGAATCCATGCACAGATTCCCTGCTGATCGGAGCAGTACAAAATGGATGTTACCATTGTGACATCTGTGTCTGTCCAGTTTTTTCCTCCATCACCTCTAAAATTACTAAGCCCATATTGGGCCTATTGGAAGTCAGATGTAAGCGGACATGTGTCCATTTACATCAGATTACCCCCGATCTGTCACGATCAGGTCCACCAAAACAGAACTCTGTTCCATTTTGTTTCCGTACCTAGATGGAGTCAGGGGTAATCGGATTAAACGGACGCATGCCGATTAAGATCCAACTGCCCAGAGACTAAAATTGGGAGTTCTGATCAAATCTTTCTGAAAAACTGACAAGAGGACCCGATTTGCTCCGCCCATATGAAAGGGGCCTTACTAGCCGTTTTTTGTTCATGTTAGTTTCTTCAGTCAAGAAATCATCTACACGCTGCTTGAGCTGGTCTTTTTATGCAGATAGCTGGATCGGCATATCTTCATCAACAGCTTTGGAAGCTGTACCCAAAACACAGCTGGTTTGGACGATTGCTGGGTCTGCCTGAAATGTGACCTTTGTGCACTGAGCTCTGCTTGTGGCACTTTTCAGAAGAATCAGAGCATCGGGTAATACTTTGTTTATTACAACTATTTGGCGCCATTATTTCACCCTTTTTCTTCAGCTGTTCTCCACGGAAACGGTTCAAATGCTGAGGAATTGAGTGGTGCATCACAAGGTGCAGTGCATATTTCATGTTCTGAACACACATTCAGCGTAAGGTATGTCAATCAGCAGCCAGTGGGCGGGTGCAATAGCCACCCTGCAATTGGCTGTTTCAAATTGCAATAACCAATAGCAGGCTGCTATTGCACACACCCACTGCCTGCTGTGTTTACATTCAGCTGCCTCTGCAGGCAGTTGTGATTCCCTGGCTGAATCTTTTTAAGTCATGTGTGCTTGAATAGCTCCTTTGAAGTGGAAAGGTGACCCAAGAGGTCTAATAGACCCCTATGTCACCTTTTTAAAGAGAACCTGTCATCTCCAATGTGCTATCGCATTGAGAGGCCCCCCTCGTAAAATGTTTTTGCTGCATATGCCCTTCGAGAGTGAATGTCTCTTCAGAGCTGCCTTGGACACCCGAATTAAGGTTGTTACCAGGGGTGAGAGTACTCTTCTATATTTGAAAAAGGAGCTTAGGCCTCAAGCTAAGAAGAATCGCCCTCCTATGAGGCAAAAAAAGTTCCTTTCATTGCTTTCAGGCTTCAGCAAAACCTAGGCCAGGAGCTCAGTTTCACGGCAAACACTGGACCCCTAAATCCCCCAAACCTGTGGACAAGTCCACCACCGCATCTGTTAACTTTGGACAGACATCATCTCCGATTTCTGGGTATGCTCTCAACCCCCTCTTTGCTTTATGTGTTCCAAACTTTCATACATAAAAGGATTTAGTTTTGAAGAAAACCTGGAGTGCTGGTGACCATTTTTCTGTTTTCCAAACTTTAGTAGTCGCTGCTCAGAACAGGGGTTTTCTCTTTTTTTTTTCATTGAGGGGCACAGGTACCACACCTTTGTGCTTATGGTCTTACTCTTAGAACTGCTTTGTTGCACAACTAAGGCATGCTGGGATGAGGGAGGATATGCCAACCCATTGTCAGCAAAAAAAAACTTTCTGTTTCTCTTAACAATGGCATTTGTTTGAGCAAGACCAAACCCTTTTTTTCCTAGAAATCTGATGTTTGTACATTTTACATTATGTTTGTGAATTCTCCTGAGTTACTTCTGTGTATGTGGGTGAAAAATCCTATAAACATACACACAACACATCAACATACACTTGGTAGTTCCAGATACATCAGCCCAAATGGCTTTACTGAGCCTTCAGAGACAGGGATACACTAGACATTGTACCACTGCTCTGGACCTGGAAACACTGTACACAAAGGTCTGGAAAGCAACATAATGCAGAGGCCATTGCCTGAAGGCCACATTAGCTAGCTCGCAATTGTCAAGTCCAGCGGGGTCTGGGCATGGCTTTCAAAGCTTTTGCTGAGGATCTAGATAGCTCCTATGTAGAGACCTGCTGAAGTAGCAATGTGGGAATCTTGATTAAAGTCACAGAGGGAGAAAAATATCCACAATGTAACAAGAATTGAAGTCATCAAGGAAAAAAATCAATGAAGATAAAAGGCTACCAGAAATCTAGTTGGGCTTTTTTTCAGCAGGGCTAAATAAAAGGTGTCCAACCTCCTAGGACACCTGCAAAAATTTGAGGCATCCTGGGTAGAGGAGAGGAGGGTTTATACTGAGTCTGGCTTACAAATGTTTCTGCTTGCAACAACCCCCTGTTGGCGTCAGTGCAACCTGGATGCTTATGCATTTCTGTGTCCTTCAAGAAAATGTGCCAGCTGCATGCATGGCCATATATGTGTGGGTCTTTATTAACATGACCAGGTAACTTGTAGTGGAGTACAAGAAACCGTTCTGATTTACACCAGCTCCTTAAATTTATTATTGCTCTTCATGAATGTTTTTTTTGCTTTTTATCTGAAATGGATTGTATGAGACGTCAGACACAGATCAGCACGTTTCAGAACGCAGAATAGGTGCTCTTTAGAGAAGTACTTTTAGCCTTTGAACAGTGATTCTTGCATATGTTTTATGCTAGATATTGATAGAACCAAGGAATGAGTGCAGATATTTTGCATTAGCTCTGTCATGCTGAAATTACAGACGCATTGTTTTTTTATATTACAAATAATTGCTCAACTAATCCAATGGAAAAGGTGTAACTTTCATGTGTTCATGTTTAACTATATATTTAACAGTGGCACGCTCAGATCTGTATTTTGTTTTGTTGGACAAGGAGATGGTTTCAGCTATGCACTGTCAGTGATGTGGCTTTCTTTCATCTAGTTACCATGGAAATCTCTGACCAGCATAATAGAGTATTATTATATGTGGAAAACAACAGACCGATATGTACAGCAGGTATGAACTTCTTTTCTTTTTCACAGTTTCTATCATTCAGTTTTTTTTCTGCTTTTGTCTCGTGAAAGTACTGCTTTTTTAGATGCGCTAAGATCTTGATGCGCTCAGCAAGTTATATTTTTATAAATAGTTACAATGGTTACAAATAGTACACGGTGTATAGGTTTTAGCAGACCAGTGCTACTTTTTAGCTATATATGCAAACTGCTAATTTTAAGGTGCCTATGTGCCCACTATAGTCTTAAACCTGAGCTGCTCTGTAATGTGCAGTATCCAGGGTTGCTGTTTTGCCAGCGTCATGCATGCTACTTTTAGCCCCTCAATGGGATAGGCAGGCTCTCTTACCAATACAAACATGTATAAGGGAGGGGTGCAGAGGCAGGGAAAACTGAATGGGTCAGCAATTGCATTAAAGATTGGGACAGCTGCAGGGTGGCCAGGCACTCGAGGTGAATAAAACCAAGTGTGGCGACAGTGAGGCACAAGATTCCCAGCCACTGTTTGGAAACTTGGACACCTTTGGTGGGTGAAGATCTAATTCTGGCCCTGTCGACCGTCCACATCTTGGAACTTGCAAGCTATTAGGCAGACTTTAAATCATTAGTACCTCAGCATGTGCTCAATACACCAGGAGGCGTGTTAACAGTTCTCTTGATAAAAGTGATCTAAAGGCACCGTGGTGTAGAAAGGTTTTTTCAAGATCCAAATATGCTACAAGATGCATTGTCTCCCCCCTGTGAGCAGTCTACCCTGATTTCTGGGGCTTTCTCATCAACTTCTACATAGTATCAAGCTGGGAGGTATCCCAGTCATTCTGTTATCTCAGGATTGGCCAAGAAGGGAACTGTTACTTAGGTGTGGTTTGTCTAGTCAGTGACGCTCCATGGCAGCTTCCACATTGACTGGACCATCTGCTACAAGGCCCTATTGTCAGTCGCTGGCTTTAATCACATGGCTGTGGAAGCCCAGGCGTTAAGAGACAGGGGTCTCTCTATGGCCTCATTCACACTGTAATCGGCCGACACGTACAGCTCCGTGCTTCGTGCAGGGTCGTATCGGGCAGCTCCCGGGAAGGACAGGTGCTGCACGTGCTTAGTACGCAGCCCCCGTCCTTCTCTTTGGGTCTACGTGGCCGTACGCTCAACCGCCCTGCACGTCCGTGCGGGTGAGTGTACTCGTACACTGACGGGATAGATCCTGTCTGCGTCCGAGCCAGGAAACATGCACCCCAACGGACCTGCACTTGAGGTGAGCGTAGGGGGGTTACGGCCGCGTTGTCCTATAGAGAAGGATGGGGGCTGCATACTAATCACACGCAACACCTGTCCTTCCCGGGAGCTGCTCTTTACGGCCCTGCACGCAGCAAGGAGCTGTATGTGGCGGCCGATTACAGTGTGAATGAGGCCTTAGAGAGACCCCTGTCTCAACACCTGGGCTTGAATGAGGCCTTAAACAGTCATTTCCCTAGTTCAAATCCCCAGCTGAAGTCTTCTGCAGGAGCCAACACTTTCTGGAAAGTCAATCTTCGGGTCCTTTCAGCACTCACTGGTGCCTGCATGATACTACAGGGCGCTGTAATTATGTGGAAGATAGCAGAAGGAACCAGTGAAGTGTTGCTTCCTGTGGAAGACTCTAGATTTCTTTATTTATATTCATATAATTGTAAAAGAAGTAGGTTTTTGTCTTGTGCATTCTGTACAAATTTAGGTTTGAAAATACCAATAAAAACCAAAACAAGACAAATGAAGAGGGAATATACTTACTTTTTCTTTAGCCTGCTTGTTGATATTGTGTCTCTTCGCCGATCCCTGTCCACTGCAAGCTTTCTCCACTTCCAGGTGTGAAGAATACCTGCTCCCCGGCCGCTCACTGTGGTTTTTTCTGCCAGCTTGTACATCACTGCAGGATGTGCTGTATAAGCTGGCAGGAGGAACCTCGCCCAGCGGACAAGTCCACTAAAGCTCCAAAGACAGGTTATTGACTACACAGGAGGGGCAATGGGGCTCATAAATCTTGGTTCTATGGATAACTTTGGGTATGCCCATGAACATATTTACCGTATATACTCGAGTATAAGCCGTCCCGAATATAAGCCGAGGGTGGGAAATGAGGCAGCTACTGGTAGATAGATACCAATAAAATTACATTAATATTTATTTAAAAGAAAAATAACCTAGCTCTGTAAGTGGAAAAGGGGGTACAGGGCTACATATCATGTACTACGGATCATTTAACCCATTCATGTTAGCAGAGGATCATTGTAAATGTATTGTCTGCACTGTATTAGCAGTATATACTCTATATAGAGTATATACTGCTAATACAGTGCAGACAATACATTTACAATGATCCTCTGCTAACATGAATGGGTTAAATGATCCGTAGTACATGATATGTAGCCCTGTACCCCCTTTTCCACTTACAGAGCTAGGTTATTTTTCTTTTAAATAAATATTAATGTAATTTTATTGGTATCTATCTACCAGTAGCTGCCTCATTTCCCACCCTCGGCTTATATTCGGGACGGCTTATACTCGAGTCAGCGCCAGCGCGTCATCTTACTTACCTCGCCGAGCGTCGCGTCACTGCTGCTCGGTGTGCGGCGCTCCGAGCGGGGTCATCTGGCAGTCTCCGGCCACCTAAATTAGGACCCGGAGACTGCCAGATGACCCCGCTCGGAGCGCCGCACACCGCAGCAGCAGCGACGCTCGGCGAGGTAAGTAAGATGACGCGCTGGCGCTGACTCGAGTATAAGCCGAGATTTTCAGCCCATTTTTTTGGGTGAAAAGTGCCCCCCTCGGCTTATACTCGAGTCAGCGCCAGCGCGTCATCTTACTTACCTCGCCGAGCGTCGCGTCACTGCTGCTCGGTGTGCGGCGCTCCGAGCGGGGTCATCTGGCAGTCTCCGGCCACCTAAATTAGGACCCGGAGACTGCCAGATGACCCCGCTCGGAGCGCCGCACACCGCAGCAGCAGCGACGCTCGGCGAGGTAAGTAAGATGACGCGCTGGCGCTGACTCGAGTATAAGCCGAGGGGGGCACTTTTCACCCAAAAAAATGGGCTGAAAATCTCGGCTTATACTCGAGTATATACGGTATATTAAAACTCTACACAGAAATGTTGTTTTTTTTTTTATAGTATTATTTAGAGCAAGCTGACTAATGTTATACATGTATTCTGAAAATGGAAAAGCCTCTATGTTCACTGAAATAATGTTTTTGTATTTGTATAAATGCTTTTATTGAATTCCTTGGTTTGATTTTTTTCTTTTTCAAAGAAACGATTGAAAGCAGCAGAAGCAGAGAGCAAATTAAAACAAGTGTATATACCTAATTAGTAAGTATGTTATGCTGCATGTATGTTTTTGTTATAGCAGATTGTGACCTTTTAATGTTGACAAAAAGGAACATTGATTGTGTTTTTATTACTGCGACTTACATTTTGACGTTGTTTGCAAGTGGTTTAGGAAATTAGGGGGGCCAAAACAAAAAATGCACTCTAACTAAATCAGTAATTGTTGACACAGATGTTATAAAGTGAACAAGTACCAAACAGAATGCTTGTGCACTTTCATGTAACAATATCAAATAAACAAACATCATTGTTAATCCCTGGTGCAGTCCAAAACACATGGGGGCTGATTTAGTAAAGGCAAGGGACATTCTAATATAAAAAACCTAATGTAAAAGAGTGTGCTGACCCCCTGCAGTCCATACCAGACCCTTATCATAGATAGGGGTCTACTATGGATGCTATGAGGGACCCTACACACACAAAAAAGCGCAAAAAAGAAATGGGGTTCATGAAGGTCTTCATTCACATCAGAAGCTATTAAGTAGCAGAGTCCCCCTAAGCCCCCATTGGCAGCAGAGTCCCCCTCAATATTCCACCACCTTAATAGCAGAGTCCCCCCTCTGAACCTGAATATAGTGTACAGTTTGTACACGCCAAATGAAGTAAAAAAAAAAAAAGCAGTGACCGCTCCTGCACTCTTCGATACACCACACACTGCCGTAGGTGTTACAACACACTAGCCCAACTTCTAAATCGCTCTGTTTTAGTGGACGGGCTAGTATGAAGGAGCCCTTCGACGTCAGAGTGCAGCAGCATGAGCGTGCATGGCAGGGCAGGTCTGGATGGAGCAGACTTCCATCCTCTGCATGGATCCAGCTAGCCCTGCATAAGCCTCACACAATTCCATGATACTATTGGCTGGCCTGCTTACACCATGGAAACGCATAAAGCCACACCACCCCTGAGGAAGCCAAATGCACCCCAGTGTACTGCGGTTGAGAATGGCTCGCTTAGTGAATGTGGTGAACAATTCACTTTGCAAAGCATACCCAATCAAGAGGAAGAAAATTAATCAAAAAAAGAATTTTTTTTTACTTGCACATGAATGGATGGCCAAGATCAGCAGAGCTTCCACCTCGTTCACTAAGGGGAATTTCCTTCTAAAGTGAACAGCCTATTTGCCTTTAGTAAATCAACCTCATGGTTTAGTGTTAAAGCGGACCTTTACACTCAAAACTCTAATTCTACCAATGCATCCCTCTATGTATGATGATTAATAATAATAACATACTTACACTTGCAAAGCATTTACTTCCTGCTTTGAAAGGGTAAAATGACTTCAGTTTGCAAAAGCAATGCACACTAGGATGTCCTTGTCATCGGCAGATTATTGCTGGGAAATCTTATCTGTAATCTCATGAGATTTTAGGGGAAGGCATTTTCTGCCCCTGAGATGATGTGCATGGTCACATGTCCTGGTCACACGTCCTTGTCACATGTGCCAGAAATCTAGGAAGTAATAGGAGAGCTAGTAATCTGCCCTTAGTAAACATGGCCACTGTCAGGAGACTGGGAAAGAAAAGAGAAATAAGGTATGCAACAAATACAAAGCCGGCAATTATCTAGAAGTATGTGTTTGTAGATTGTCATTAATAAACATTTCTAAAGGTGCCTTTGTTGTTGTTGTTGTTTTAAAGATATGGGTAAAAGTCCTTTTTTTAGTACAATTTTCCCTGTATGGGACTGTGCTTAAAGCATGTATAGAACATGTTCCAAGTCGTATTTAATAACGCAGTAACAAATAGCAAGACTGCACACTTCTGTGGTTTTTCTGTGGTTGAAACTTTACGTAAAACGTAAACTTTATTGAAACCACTAAATGGGGGATTTTCTTGTATCGTTACTCCCCCCAGGTATAACTCCTCTAACACATTTTCCCCTAGTCGGGGCTTAATCCTACGGCATATAAAGTTTGAGATTGAAGATAAACACAGCTGTATGTAGATTTCAAAAGACCTTCAGCACCACTTGGACTGTCATTTACCAACTCCTCAGATTTTCCTCTAGGTCTGTTACCAGCATAATCTGTGTTTTGATGTCCACACACTCAGGCTCCCAATACTTGCAGTCCCTTTTGGCTTCCAGCTCTATTCTCCAAAATCTGCAGTCCTCCACATATCTGCCTGGTTGTTGTTGGGATAACTGTTGCAGAGTGTTGCATGAAATCAGTTAAACAAAATGGCGTCCCGACATGTTTCATCTCGGCTAAGTAATCATCCCTTGATGAGTCTTGGCTAAGGTGAAATTATTACGATTACAGACTTAGGTGAAGGACAGGTCTAAGGATTTGGTGAGTTACTGTCCAAGTTGTGCTGGGAATGGATTGTGATCTATAGCGGTGGCTCTTGATTGAGTATGGAAGTCGTGTTGACCTAGTAGGCACAATGGTCGGGACATTTAAAGAAAAACTCCAGGAAAGTTTTTTTACTAACCTTTGAAATGGGGCTACCCCCGTACTGCAAGGGTTAAGTGCTTGTTTTTGCCCAGGGAGAAAAATAACAAAGACCTACTCACCTGAAACTCCGAGCCGGGTAGCTGTCACAGCACTCCCTCCATCCTGTCTCCTCCGCAGCATTGGAATCTTTCCCAGTGTCCTCACGTCTATAAACAGTGTATAGAAGTGATGATTTACAGGACTTTAGACCGCTGCAGGTGAGGGGGGGAGACTCTGAAAGGACTGGTCTAAGAACAAGCCGGCTCAGAGCATCGAGTGAGTATAACTTTTAACCTAGACACAAACAAGCATATAACCCTTGCAGTGCAGGGGTAGCCGCTCTGCAAAGGTTGTTTAAAAAAAATAATTCTGGAGTTTTTAGGGATGTGCATATTTACGCAACCACTTTATTGTAGGTTTTTCTTTTTTTCCCCTTTTTAAACATTTGTGTTTATTGAAATTTCACAGATTATAGGTCACATTATAGGTGTAAAAATTCAGAAGTGATTTATCTTCGATTCTTTTAACATCTCAAAAATCTGCCAAGATTTTTTGATAGACATTCTCTGTTTTCATTCTTTTTTTCTAGTAACAAACCAAACCCAAATCAGATTAATGCGAATAACATTAAGCCAGCGATAGTAAATGGAACAGTGGTACCAGGCCCAAATGTGGGGGCAGGTCGGGCCTGTGAGAGTTGCTACAGTAAGTATTCATTTTTCGAGTCCTGTGTCACATGAATCATGCCTTTCACAGGTGAAAACAGACAGTTGTTAAAGGATTACAGAGCCTTCAACTGCACTGTTTTATCTAGTACAGCACCAGTTATTAAATACAGGCACTGGTCTCTACAGTAGGTTTTACCTGCAGGGCTGGCCATCAGTTTGGCAACAGTGTGCACTCAATTTGGATCCCTGTAAGGCTTTTAGCTATCTGTTTGACATTCTCTTTTGATTTGTGTAGTAAGATTTGCTGTCGGAGGGCTCCATTACCACTGTTTGTTGTGACCCATCTAGGGAGATTTTCCATAATTTTCTGGCCCTATGATGTCAAAATGAATAATGTAAAACCCACAAGAATATGTACCCCCTAAGGGCTCGTTCACACCATTAGCTGTGACTGTTCAACACCAGTAACTGCCAAGGCACATAGAAACAAATGTTTTCAATATGGCCCATTCACACCACAGTACTGGTGTAATGTGGGCTGCTTACAAATGCAGACATGCTGCTTTGTGTAGACCTTCAATGGAGTAAACAATCTGAATACCACCAATAAAGCTAAAAAGAAAAAGAAAAAAGGAAACCGTTCAGCACCACTATACACCGCTTGCCATGCAGTGTTCTATCAGTCACCGTTTTATGCTGTATAGTTCTTATTGAGCGCTGACTCCAGATACACGACCGTTCTTATTCTTACAGGATTAGGTTTTTTTTATGTTTTCATTTGGTTATTTTTGTTTTTTTTATTTATTTAAATTTTTTTGTGTTTTGCTTGATCATACATCACAGGACATGGAGAGTTAATTCTGGAGCCAATGGTTATGCAGCTACTTCTGGTGATTGTACACTGGCAAATCAAGCTGTAAGCACAGCACTGTATAATTCCTCCCACTACTTTTTTTTTTTGTTCCTGCTAGTGTGATGGACGGCTTTTCTCTTCTGATACAAGCACATCCTTTCTGCCGAAGATTCTTTTAGCAAATTTTCATCACAGGCATTGGGGCACCTATCAGCAGCTATCTAGATCAGCTTTCTCCTCTGCTGAGCCTTAGTGCACTGTACCCGGCCCCCGCAAAGAGTGGGGCTTTATTCAGAGCTTTAGATCCTGCATGATGCATTCCCCACGGCACATGCAATTGCCTCAGAGTGCTATACAGGTTCAGGGCCATGGCTACTTTGGTGGAGCGCTGTTCCTAAAGACCCACTTTGGTAGGTATGCCCAAGGGAGGGCAAAGATTGGATGGGGCATGTCCTCTTTAAATGGCCATAGCTCCCACGTGGTCACAGCTGCTTTAAAAAATGCATGGTTGACAGAGTTTCTGCTTTTAAGGAAATATATAATTTGCCTGTTTCCTGGTTGCATGGTGTCTGTAAGAGGAGGAGAGGGGGGTGTCCAGTGCTGAATGGACAACCAAATCACCCTGAGCCTCTAGGGTGTTGATCAGGAGAAGATATTCCTTCACCAACCAAGTCCCTTTAAAACCAGAGGTTCCCCAGCCTAACAGGCTGACATCTGTTGTGAGCATTTTCCTGATTCCAATGCTGACTGGACAGGAAAATTGGGAGGTTAAGGTTTTGAATGTGCTTCTCCCACACATCTAGAATGCTGAGCTGCAATGAGCTGGAGTGCAATTAAACATAGAGGACTGCTTTGACAGAGGCCACTAGCAAGCAGAACACCCTCACTCAAAAGCAGGTTGGGCGACTCCTGGACTGCAAGGTCAGACCATGGGAGCAGAGAGAGAGGCCTTTTTTTCCCAGGGAAGAATGACTCTGGACAGGACCATGATCAAGACTAGACCTAGGTACTCCAAGGGATGAGAGGGTTCCAGAGTTGACTTCTGAGATTCTGCAGGGTTTGTATCATCTTTCTTGTTCTACTTTCTACAAAGGGGAGGCAGGCCAGAGTGTGAGGGGTTTTACAGGGCTGTACTTAAAACTTCATTTTGCCAGTGTCCAATCACCAATGTCCAACCATTGAATTACAGAACTCCCTGTGTGCTGTTATGCTTAATGTCACACAACCAAAAATACCACAGTAAGGCAAGGGAAGAAGTTTCTTCCGATTATAAGATTACTAAGAGTGTGGCGATGTCGAAATCCACTACTGGAAAGATTTAAGCAGGTAATGGGCATGTTTTTTTTGTTTTTTTTTTAAAGCTGGAGTTTTAATTTAAACTAATAGAAATGACTCGAAGAATGAGCTATAAAGTGTGCTTCCGCTTTTGCAACCAAATTCGGATTACAAATACTTAATATTTGTTACATGTTCTTATTTACATAGAGCTTTAAGAAATAAAATTAAAAAAAATGCTACTTGCTTATTACTTGCTCTTTTCTGAACGAAATGTTTTTTTTTTCTCTAAAGTGAATTTTGCTCTGGAGTGCAAATGGGTGGGCAGGTAAATGCTAACATAATTAACCCTGTCTGTACTGTGCTGGCATTATCTATTGTAATCTAGATTTGAATATGGTCAACCCGAACAAAGGGGTTAAAGAAGAACTCCAGGCATGTTAAACATGTGGGCTACCCCATACACTGCAAGGCTCTAGTGCCCATTTTGGTCCAAGGTGTAAAATAATAATAAAAAAAAAAGATATTCGCCTCATCCTTGGTCCCACCTGGGTACTGGGCATGTCCCTCCAGCCTCTTCTCCTCTGGTTTCGGCGGTCTAAGGACCTTGGATGTCATCACGTCCATTCACTTGCATTGGACGTGAGGATGCCGACATTCCACAGAGGAAGAGAGGTGAGCTGTCAACTCTGTGGAACTGAGGATCGGATCTGGTAGCAATGTATGTAACACATAATGAGAGGAAGCGCAGAGTGTCCCTAGTCTTTCTATGGGGATGGAGATTTTTCTCACTGTCACTCACAAATGTCCTCATGAGGTTTAAGTCTGCCAAAAGGCCTGCTACTCAAAAGTATCTTAAAAGAAAGATATATATTTAATATAAGTGTGTGTGTGTGTGTGTGTGTGTGTTTTTAGTTGTGCTGCGTGAATAGAAACACGTGGTGAACATATAGAGGGTTTTGACTGCAAATGTGGAAATACACTTTAAAATGCAGTCGACCACCACCAACCAAACTTAATGGTTGGGTTAGCCTGTCCCTAGCTGCAGCCATCTCAGCTGTTGTCCACATATCCAAGGATGATATATACTTACAAATGTCAGATAAAATGAACAAGATCTAACCTATAGAGGTCTAGGATTCTTCTCCTTCCCTCTAATTCACAATAGTTTAGAGATTTAAAAAAAAAGAATGCATTATGTAAAATCGAATTTTACTTGAAGCAGTGATCCAACCAAATTAATATTGTCTCTTAGATGAAAATTCTAAAAAACAGGGGATGACCAATTCCTAACAGCTGATGCATACCATGTCATGTCCTAGAAACCTGAAGAAGAGCAAATGGTGAGCACTACAATAAATTTACAACTAGAAAGGTGTAATTCCCAGAAGGCTTAACAATACAGAATGACTTTGTTAGCCAGCAAAGGCTTTTTTTATGGAGAAAAGGGGCTTTTTTTCCCCCCAAACACTTCCAAATATCTGTCGAAGCACCAAGTGTGGTATATGAGAATACCATAGCAAAGTCTAGTCTTACTGTGGTGTCAAAGTACTAACAGGGAGTTAATTTTAAAAAAAGAAAAAAAAATTAAAAGCAAACTTAGCTGGAGGTTACCCATTGCTTCTTCAAAGATGCTATGACGCGTGAGTGATCCTATCTAGCAGATGGCGAGACTCCTCGCATGTGCAGAAGACACAGCAAAAAAAAATATCTTAAGTAACTTAATTTAAAGCTACCTATATGTGAGGAACAAGTCACACCAGGTATACATAATTTCTAATTATTCAACCTGAACACAGCCTTTTTAACCTTAAAAAAAAAAAAAGATTTTCTAAATTAGTGTCAAGATGCATAATTTGGACCTTCAAAAAAATGAATTATTGGCGCACAGTCCATCTGCAAAATGGACTCACATGACTGGTGTGCAGTGTAAAGCTGTTGTGTTTTCAGAGCATAAGGGCGAGTATACCGCTCCACAACAGCGATACACGGCGAGTTGGACCGCAGCTGAGCGGTCCCCCCGCCTGACCTCAACGTAGCCATCAAGGCTCAGCCTGGCCAGCTGAGTCCTTGTGACACATCTCAGAAACAGCTCCCCAACAGTGACCCTTTACAGGCACACTTGCCTTCGACGGCACAGTACAGGTCTCAGTCCCCACTCAGCCCTCTTTTTCTTCTGCAACGGCAGATTGCACACAGGCTCCCCCCTCGGCAGTGATACAGTCCTGCGACATCCATCCGCCTACAAAAGTGAGTCACCCCTTTTGAACTGTTCATGTTTGTCCATCCAGCCGCACAAGATACACTGGTAGGCTGAAACACTTAAACACACATGGGTTTTTTATTTACTGTGTTACTGATTCACACTTAAAGGGCAGTAGCGCTTTGATTTTGTTTTTATTGTGTTTTCAAAGCAGCACACCGATTTTTACCTTTTTTCTCTTCTGTTCATTGAAGGACACAGCAGAGATCTTTGAAACCCTTCTTAGCTTCTTCAGCCTCTGGATGCATCCTTGTTTTCCAAAGAAAGGGACATCTGTTAACCTTGCAGATATTTTGGGCAGCTAGCATCCTCTTGTTGCCTGGGTGTGGGGTGTTGGTTCTGGGAGCTACTAACTAGTCTTCTGCACCACATTGGTTCATGCCTTCAAACCTCAGGGGATTTACTCCTCCCTGTTTACTGTTCCCATAACAAAGTGTATTTAGCCCTCAAGCCCCACATAGTGTTTTTTTTTTGTGTCATGTACTTGCATGTCCCATTCTTCCAAAACTCAGTAATCCTTCGCTAAGCTTTGAGTCCCCAGCGCTTCCAGTTAGTGACCTACTGTTTGCCTTTCTTCGGTACGCCAGTTGTGGACCCTCTGGGTTCAACAACAAACTGGAAAGGTTCATCTCCAGATACAGGGATCCTCTGGCAGAAGTGGTGGATGCAATGGTGGCTCTGTTGGGGTCAGTACAGTCTGTTGTCACCCTCTCCTCCCTTCATCTGCTCCACTGGATCGTAAGGGAGTGCATTTTTGTGATCCTCATTGCTTTGCATTTTCCCAGGAGGATGTGGTACCTCGCCCTGCTTACAGTACTGGCAGATTCTTTGTAGGCTCTTCCAGATCGTCCAGATTTTCTATCGCAAGGGACATTTTTTGTACCCTGCTTACAGTCTCTGGCTTAATGGCATGGCCTAAAGCCTGGGTCCTGAGGGACGGTAGCATCTAGGAATCATTCATTCCCATGGGCTCCCAGCTTGGAATCTTCTTTTAGTGAGAGACTAGGGACTTTTTGCGGTCTTGTCCAGAGATCATTTGCCTTCCAATCTGTGAAACTTTTTGTTAAAGGGTAGCAAGTACTTTGACATGCCTTTTGTGGGATCTGCTTTGGTTCTTTGGCTTTTCCAGAAATGCCTTTTTGCTCCGATCAAGGATATTCCTCCCTTATTCCCTGGTTGCATTCGTGTTGCCATGACTGCGTTTCTGTTTTGGCACAGGCCATTGCATGTTGGGGACCACTATGGGTCGCACTGTATTTGTTCCTGCCTAAGTCAGCAGGGTTTTTCCCACCAATCGATAGACACTTCTTTAGGATGTTTCAATGTTCAGAGATTCAAAGTGTCCTTCAATAAACGGTAGAGAAATTAGGATTTTTATATTTCTCTAAAATCCTTTTCTCTGCATTCATTGAAGGACACAACACCCACCCCTCTGATTGTTCTTTTGTTGACAGTTGTTGCTCCATGTACTGCTTTGTGACTAGCCGAGCTGCCTCTATCAGTTAAAGGTTTGTCCACCAGGCCGCCCTTAGGCTGTGCTTTTGTTTCCTGTGCTAAGAGTCCTACTCCTGAAGGTGGGCTATAACTCAGCAGTCAGAGATTCAAAATCTCTGCTGTGCCCATCAATAACCACAGAGAAAAGGATTTTACGGTAAGTACAAAAATCCTTAGTTTATTTAAAAAAAAATTTTAAGTCACATTTTATTCAATTGTATAAACTCCAGAGCATTGTGATGCTGTGTAGTGCAGCATGTACTGCATTTTCATACTTTTTTTTTTTTTTGCGACAAAATCACGAAGCAGTGATGTGAACTGACTTGTTAGTAAACAAATTGCCTTGTCTCTGCTTTAGGACTGCAGCAACAAATCTGGTGTGAACGGGCCCTTCTTAAATTATGATCTGCACTATTCATACAAGCTTTTTATGGATATTTGCCAATGGGACATTACTGTCAAACCATCTCCTTCATATTCCCTGACCTAAAGTGTGTGTATAGGCAACATTTAAAAAATAAGTTTTGCCATTGTTTATATCTCTTCTAGGATAGATTAATGCCTGTATTTGTGCTGCTGACCATTGTTATCAAGATAGAAAGTTAACGTTTTTTAGAGGTGTCACCAGAACATGGGGGAGGAGAAATCATCCAATTAGGTCAAATATTCCAATGACTACTCTCTAAGATGTGAGATCGCCTCACTTTAGGGAGATTACTTCTCATTTCCTGTTGCGTCTCTAGGACAGATAATGAAGGAAAATCTTCCTAGCAATACACAGATGGCAAAAAATAACCCAATACGGGTTTTAACCCTTCCCTGCTCTATCCAGAACAAAACAAAAAAAACGTTTTGCTATACATATACTTTAATTCAAACAAACCATACATGATTTGAGGATCCCAATCCCTAATATAAACTAAATATTAAATACATTAGCTATGGAGTAATTTCCTAAACATTTAATATATGGAAGAACATCCTAGGAATAAATGTCTGGGGGGGGGAAAGCACACCTAATATGGAAATAGGTTTCTTAAAGCTTCATCTGTAGACTCTATACAAGGAACCAATATAAAATACAATTTCACTGGTACCATATCCTAGAAGCTTTACACGCTTTTTATTCCCAGCAACTTCAGACATATGTTGTAAGGTGCCTATTTACCTGTTGCAATTCTAGCACATGTATTGGCTTTAGGGTCTATTCTTTACTTTTCTGTTTGATTTGATACCTAGATTCCTTTAGATCTCAAAATATATACTGTATACACGGACCACCACCCACAAACTTCTAAAACATTGAAAAGACTGCTAGAGCATAGTCCTGCAGCTGTTCAATGCTTACTAGTTCTCTAATTTAAACAAGTGCATCCCCCAAAAACAAAGTACAGCACCCCCAAATTAGATATCCAAATTTTTATATAGGGCCAACATACTGCAAATTCACATCAGTCCCTGCCCTCAAGGAGCTTACAATCTAATGTCCCTATCTCACATGCATACATACAGGGCTGATTTAGAGAGGAGCCAATTAACCTTCCAGCATGTCTTTGGCGTGTGGGAGGAAATCAGAGTAGCCAGAGAAAACCAACACAAGCACAGGGAGAATATGCAAAATAATAGAAAACTCTAACCATTAGATAATATATGATACACATACTAGCTTTGTCTGTCAAACCATATGGTCGATTTATAAACCCTTTTAAATATTCTCCTTTTCTGGTTTAAAGTTGTCTCATAATTTATTTATTTTTTCTTTCTTCCTTTTTTTGTTTTTTTAAACCAGTTCTTGTTACTTTAAGCACAATTTTTGTATTTATTTAAAAAGTTTTGCTTTTTTTTTTTTTTTAACCCTACACAGCAACACAGTCCTACCAGTGGTATTCTTGGGGACCTCCAAATATGCAGTGCCGATTATGTGCATTATGTTGGGCATACTGGAAAAAGTATGGTGGTTTGAAGATGCCAACCAGACTGGATGGTGAGAGGCCGGGTCCAAATCGTAATAATATGGTATGTTAATGCACATCTTAAATTGGTATATAACATAAACTTCTTCTCTTGGTATTTTTAAGGCAGCCTAATTTTTTTCGCAAACTTGATATTATAACTGTTATGTCAGAACACTGTAAAAGCAAATCCTTATGCTTGCCCAAACCTTTTATAGATATCTCTTTTAGCCTGGGGAATGTTTTAAAGCTGAACTTTAACTTTTTTTTTTTTTTGTATGCGCACAAGGCACTAGTCACATACGTGATCTCTAATTAATAAATAGTATCCCATGTCCTGTTGGTTAAAATTCCTACCTATGGATTGAATGTTTACATTTGACTAAATGGCGGCCATTGTTTGCATCCTTGAAAGGGTTAGTTTGCCTTAACCATAACAGCTTGACCTGCATGTCAGTGTTCAGAAAAATATAAATGCGTCGTATCAAAACAAAGCATTAATTTACAGAATTCTACTGTTGCATATGTTAACAAACATACAGTTTTCAGGAATGAAGGGAATTTATCCAAACTGGAGCAGACAAAATCTGGAGCAGCTGTGTATGGCAACCAATCCGCTTCGCTTTCATTTTAAAATCTAACTGAGCAAACTGAAGAGAGAAGCGGATTGGTTCCCATGCACAGCTGCTCCAGCTTTGATAAATTCCCCTCACTATCTTTCAAGACAGCGGGGACAATGGCAATGCAATGAGTATGGGTATTCTTCTGTTCGATTTTTATACTTTTGTTTCCACACCCAACCCTTCCAACCCCCCCAACTAAACTACTAACTAAAACCAATATTAAAATAGTGGGAAAAGTGCACAATGCTTACCTTGGACCCCGTGTACACTGTGCAGGAGTGCTTTCTCACAAGATCTGAGATCCTCTGCTTTCCCAGAAGGCTGTGGTAAAGCTGATGTCACTGATGCCTAATCAAGCAGGAGGAAGCATGGGTCTAAGGTAAGTATCTTGTGCTTTTTTTTCTGCTAATATGAGTGTAATTTTATTTTTTGTTACTGACTTTGCATGGGGAAGGGGGTGTATAAGAAAAAGGTCCACTTTAAAAGCCAAGTGAAGTCTAAGGTTTTTGCATGTTATGCAGTCAGGCTGTATAACCGGTAAGGATTTTTCTTTTTATTTCATTTTTATTAGAAAGTGCATGTGCTTTGTAGCGTGAAGGCTGCCCTGTGTCGCCAACATATCGAACTGCCTCCCGGTGGTAAAAAAAAAAACGGCCAGCTCTCTAGATCTGAGCGGGCGTCTTTAAACGTCCGCTCAGCCACGCCTTGTGGCGCGAAAAAAAACCCCCCCCTCCCTCCGCGCCCCCCCCTCCCGTTGTCACGCTGGTCCCGGGATCCGCTGTTCCCGGTGCAAGCCCGGGACCAGCATAGTGCCTCTGTCACAGGGGATCAGAGGCAGATCGGTACACAATCTTCCTCTGGTCCCCTCTCCACTGCCAGAATGCGGTCCCCTCTCCGCTGCCAGAATGTGGAAGTGATGTATATTACATCACTTCCGCATTCTTGTGTCACTCTCCAGATTCAGACGCTGGAGAGAAGCTGACGAAGCAGATCTATGCTTCATCAGCTTCTTCGGGGGGTCGTGGAGACCCCTGATGTCTTCATAAAGAGGACCTGTCACATCTTTTGCTATCACATATGGGGGATTCCTTAGCCCCTTATGTGATAGCAATCAAGTTAAGTGAAAAAAAAAATAGGAAAACAAATTTCCCAAAAAACAATGTAAGTTCCCACTCATACATACACTCATGCAAACATGCGTTGGGTGCACATACCTGCGAAAACGACGATTGCGCCTATTGTGCCGCACATGTTACATATCACCGCGAACGTCGCAGTGAGAGCAATAGTTCTAGGGCCATCAATCACTGGTAACACTAAACGGATGAGCGGTAAAAGCTTTTCAAGCGTCGCCTATGGCCACTTTTGGGTATGGTAGTTTTCTGCGATTTCGCGGGTGCGCACAATTTTAAAGTTTGACATGTTTGGTGTCCATTTACCCAACATGACCCAGTCTTATATTTTACCAAAAAAATTGGGTATTAATAATTGTTTTCTAACATAATGTAAAAATTAAAAAAAAATTCTAAATTTTCTGAAATATAGTAAAAATAAAAACCCCAGTGGTGATTAAATATCACCAAAAGAAAGCTCTATCTGTCCCCAAAAAATTGTATAAAATTCATTTCAGTACAGCGTTGCATGGCTGAATAAATGTCAGTCAAAGTACCACAGAGCTGAAAACTGAAAAATAACCTGGCCAGGAAGGGGTGTAAACACCTGGTCTTCAAGTAGTTAAGAGCCGCACATCTGCTCTCACACAGAGCGTGTGGTGTAGGCCTTCAGTCTGACACTTCCCATGCACAGTGCTCTATTAACAATGCTACTCAGGAAGTATGAGTATTGTTCAGATCAGTGTGCGGGGATATTGTCAGAACGCTTGAGGCCCATACAGTTACATCCGTGTGAGAGCAGCAGTCCGGCTCTCAAGTGTGCTGCTGACACACACGTGGAGCCTTCAGTTGGGCTTTAAAGTGTTTCTAGACCAAAACTTTTTTTCTTTCATTTTCAGCAAAGTAAGGGGATGGTTAAAACAGCTGTCCGCTTTCTTTCTGCCTTCTGTGTCTCAGTGCGAGCTCTGCCTGGGAGAAAATGTACAGAAGCCTGAGCTTTGCAGCTGTGACCGAGTGATCACAATGGCAATGCTTTCCAAGCTTGAATGCAAATATTAAAGAAATACATTTTTTTAATATATAATTATGAATTTCTTGAATTTTTGTAAAAGGTGAACTTATCCTTTTAACAGAGCAGCCTAGGGTGGCAACCCTGCTCCTCGATAGAGTGGAGTGAGTGAGCGCTGTCCACTTAGGACAGGAAGTGGACAGCTAAAATAACTGCCAGTTTTTTACTACATTGCACAGTAGACCGGGAGCTACCTGACAGAATGGGAGAACACAAAGTTGACCTCATTCTTCTAATTCTGCTCCTGCAATATATTTAATCACAGGCTGGGGAGCTTTATAACCAGGCTGTTTTGTTGTTACCTCAATACATAAAGTTAGGCGAGATCCTGACTGTGCTGGCAGATTAGAGAAGTTGTTTAACAGAACACATTGGGGGGAATGTATCAAAACTGGAGCAGCTGTCCAGGGCAACCAATCAGCTTCTCTCTTCAGTTTGTTCAGTTAAGGTTTGAAAATGAAAGAGAGAAGCTGATGCACATGTGCTCCCAGATTCTGTCTGTTACAGTTTTGATAAATCCCCTCATTGTTTGACAGGTAAAACACTTATGCTTACATATTTCAGCTTTGAATTTAGTAGTTTATCTTTACCTCCTATGTTCATCTAAGTGCAGTTCTACAGCCATTCTTTGGCAATGATGTTTCTAAATTGTGTGTATTCATTATGTACCTAAAATTTAAATTTGACATTTTGTCTGAGACAGTATGTCCACATATGACCACATGCTTGCACATTATATTTAAGACCATTTCAACTAAGTAACGTTTATCACATGAAGTTCATCATGAATACCTTGCTGGGTGTTTTCCAGTTGTACTATCTCTACATTTTTTCGCAGTGCCCCACAAATATATGCAAGGATCAGTTTACACTTCTGATAATTGGAAAGCATACTTTCCTATGCTACTAAAGGACTTTTTATGAGTTTTCCATCACCATATGTTTTTCATGCTTTGTTTACATTTTACATGACCGAATGGGCAAAAATGCACTAGAACACATAAAAATATCTCAAAAATTAATTTGAAATACACTCGAATGGATGCGGTGTACAGTAGAATGAATAGCTTCTTAAAGGAGAACTATGGGGTCAGTGTTTTTCCCCATAGTTCTCCTTGGGGTAACGGGAGGACACAAACTAGCGTCCTCCCGTTACCCTAAGCTCAGTATACCGCGAGCTACAGCTCGCGGTATACTGAGACGCCGCACCTGGAGCGGATCCCGACTTAGATGACGGGATCCGCCCAGCTGCGTGAGTGACAGCTGGCTCTGCCTATCTAGAGGCAGAGCCAGCTGTACCCGCACCCTCCCCCGTCCGTTCCGCCAGTCAGCGCTGGCAGATCGGAGCGGGGAGAGGGGAATCCAGCCCCTCCCCCTGTCACGGCAGAGAGCCGTGACAGGATCCAGAGGTGAGGGAACCCGGTATGTGTTCCCTCACCTCCCGATCTACTGAGCCGACCTGTGACAGTCACATTGTCACAGGTCGGCTTAGAACTATGAGGTGAGTGGAAATCACTCGTGTCATAGTTCTCCTTTTAATATCTTTGACGCAGGTAGCCAGTGATACTATCTTCAGCCCTAGTGGAATCTTCAGTGAAGAACATACACTCCGTGGAAGGGAAGCAGGAAGTTCATCTCAAAGTAATGCCATGGTGGTCACAAGGACATAAATTGAGAGGAAATCCCGACAATGGGGATATTTAAAAAAAACCTTAATTCCTATCATTTAAATTGTCCTCACTTTTTTTCCAAAATGAAGAACAATAAAACTGGGATGGAGTTTCACATCCTGTTGTATAAATATTGTTTTTTTCGTTCTGATTCTCAGCAATGTTATTTTCTCTTTCCACATAACAGAGTCCTCATGGTCTTCCTAGAGCCAGCGGAAGCCCAAAATTTGCAATGAAAACACGACAAGCATTTTATCTACATACAACAAAGTTGACCAGGATTGCTAGGCGGTTATGCCGTGATATCTTCCGTCCGCAGTATGCTGCTAGACATCCGTACATGCCCATCAACAGTGCCGCTATCAAAGCAGAGTGTACGTATTTAGGAACTAGAACTATATAGAATAATTGCAATGTTTTCTGTACATGGAAACTGATATGGTTTTCACCTTTTACTACAGCTGTATGTGCTTTTTTCAAGTAATTGTTTTGGGGGAGATTTTTGCTTGGGGAGGT